TGGATTGACACAGTGGCTGCCACGCTGGGCTCACGTATAGCAGGGATTGTGAGGCTGGCACAGGTCCTGGCAGTATTTCGTTCTGTTGTACATGGGGTCTCTGTGAGTCAGAGCTGACTCAACGGCACCTAACAACAACACGACACATACAAGAGGTTAAACACCTCCCCTGTGCCTGGCACCCTGCTAAGTGCCTCAGGGTGCACCCTCTCACCCAACCTCGCCACAGGCCCTGTTCCGTTCCCACCTCATAGCTGAGAAGACTGATTCTCAGAGAAATGATCCGCAGATAGCAGCAGGAAGAGCAGGGGTCCGAGCCCAGCTCTGTGTTTCCGGAAGCCTGTGCATGTTGCTGTACCCACGCCCCCTCAGAGCTCAAGAAGTAGCCCACCAGTATAGAAGTGGGTTGAGTGCGGTGCTGACTGTGGCTGATGTTTGAATAGAGCTACAAGAAGAGCAAGAGAGACCATGGAGGAGGAGGGGCCCAGGAGGGTTTCATGGAGGAGGCACATTGGCACTGGGCCCCGAAGGGGAACCAGGGTTCCTCCTGGTAGAGTGGGAAAGGGTCTGAACAAGAGTGAGAGTTGGGTGGTGGGAGGTGGAGCAGAAAAGATGAGCAGGAACCAGGCTATAAAGGCCTGTGCTGCCCATACCAAAAACCTTGAGCCTTACCCTGTGGGCAACGGGGAGCTACTGACAAGACTAAGTGCATGTGGTGGGGTGTGTGTTGTGGCTGGAGGGTGCTGTAGGAAGGGAACCACAGAGGAAGTAGTGTGGTGGGAATGGGGGAGATAGGGGCAAGAGGAGTACTTCTTGATTGAAGTACTTTTATTTATATAGACTTTATTTCATAGTTTTAGGGTATGAAAAATAATGCTTAGAGTTTTTGATATTTTTGCTTTTTCTACTTGGTTGTTCTAGAAAATTAGAGACTTAAGACTTGGAACTTTTAATTCAGATCATCAACTTACTTTCTGTATTGTTTATCTCAAATAATTCATTAGATGCAATATTTGGCATGTGTATGGCTAGTTCACATTGCTGAGTTTAATACAATTTGTTCTGTCACATGGGAGCAGTAGATGAAAAGTGAAAATTAGAGCTAGCCTCTTCCCTGTTAGGATTACTACTTTGGACTTGATATCTGATGTAAAATAGGAGAAATAGTGTTGGTTATCTCAGTAAACTCAGAAAGAATAAGGAAGTCTCGTTTTTTGCGTGTGGGGCCAGATGGTTCTTTCCAGAGGCCTTTTCTGGTATGGTTGACATGTGCAACATTGAGGCTCTTCACGAAAGGGTTAAAGCAGATAATCCAGGAAATTGCATTAATTTTCAGAAATTCACACTACTATATACATTTTAAAAGATAATCCATTTGTACCTAAAAAATAAATGAATCCACTCTGGAAATGAAAATAAAATAATAGAAACTAGAAGTGACTGCAAGGAGCACCGAAATGGGAAGCCTGCGTTCCTCTCCATTTCCCCTGGTGGGAGATCTGGGGTGTGGTGCCAAGGTGGGTTAGGACCATCCTTAAGGGAACCAAGTTCCAGGACAAATTCCTTGACTTTGCTACACCTCAACACTAGCATTTTGGGGAAATCAGATCAAAGTGAGTATAGAAAGAACTTGAAGGAGGCAAAATGTCTCCAAAGAGCATCTGAGGAGTGTGTCTCCCTGATCCTGAGGCATCCCTAATCCTCCATGAACCACAAATAGGTGCCCCATCTGGACTCCACCATCCTGGAGGGCCGGCTCCCACCTCTGCTGGGCTGTCTGGAAGATCACTCATTCAATGCATCTGAGTCTGCCCTACGGAGCTCTCCCACTGATGAGTTGAGTCTTTTATGCTCCTCAGATTCTTCTAGAGCTTTTGAGATCAGTGGGGGAGATAAGAGAGTTGAAGAGAGAAAAGATTAAGACCCTGGAATCAGACAAATCTTGGCATGAATCCCTGCTCTGTAGCTTATTAGCTGTGTGATCTTGGGCAAGTCAGTTCAACTCTCTGAACCCCAGGCAAAAAATAAGAATAATACCAATATTTGCCCTGACCTCAGGTGCCATGAGGAATCAACAAGCCTCTTAGGTGGACAATGTGCACAGCCTAGGGCCTGACTCCTGAGGAGCACTTGCTCAGTGAGGCTCTTAGTGCTATTAGGTCTTGTTTTCTCAGCTTCAGGGCTAGAACCATGGCTCGTTCCTCGCTGCAGTGCGCTCCCAGCCCTGCGGAACCAACAGCATGCTCCTCCTTATGTAGGTATGATGCAGGCCACAAAGTCCTCCCACATTTGTTGTCCCAGGAGAACCATTTGTTGTCCTGGGGTGAACAGACCAGGAGCAAGCCCTCTTTTCAGAGATGAGGAAACTGAAACCTGAAGAAGATAAATGAACTGTCCAAGGTTCCACAGCTTTCCAGAAAGTGGTAGAAGCAGGGTTCCAGCTCAGCTTTCTTGCCTCCTGCCCAGTACATTCTCCATTGGGCAAGAGAGAGAGGCTTCCCTTGCCTGTGTGTTTCCCCTCCCAACATCACCTCAGCCTCTGAGGAGAAGGGACTGGCTCAAGGTCATCCCTGCAAGCCATGACGGGGGTAGGCCTGCTGGCTCCGGGCCTAGAAAGATGCTTTTTTCCACCTTACCAAATCTCAGCTAGAGAGAGAACTTGAAGGACGCAAAATGTCTCCAAAAATCAGCCAAGAGGCATGTCCCCTGCCCTGAGATGTCCCAGTCCTTCCTGATTTAGAGTAGGTGTCCCATTCCAACCCCAGCATCCTGGAGGTCCTGCTCTTGCCTCTGCTTGGCTGTCCGGAAGGTCACTCAGGCTAAGGGAATCTCTACAGCATGAGGTTTTGAGAGTATGTGGAGGCAAGCCAGTGTCAGATTACCCAATAAGCAATGTAAACACAGGCTTACTTGTGTTTACGTACTAATCTGTAGTGAACAATTTCAAATTTCTTTCACCACCTCAAAGATTCTGCTTCTAGGTATGGCTGGCATCTGTCTTTCTCCCAAACCCACAGCACCTTCCTACAGAATCAAAGCCTCTTTTCAAATTTACAATCCCTGATGGGAACGGAGTACCCAGTAAGCAAGGTAAGCACAGGCTAACTTGTGCTTACTTACTAATCCGTAGTGAACAGTTTCGCATGTTTTCACCACATCAAAGATGTGAGACCCATGTCACATTGTTCATGACAGATTAGCAAGTAAGTACAAGTATGCCTTTGCTTACCTTGCTTATTGGGTAATCTGTCCCTGAGGTAACCTATCCTGGCTCTGGCAAGAGTGGGATGAGGTGGTGTGGGGTTTGCCTGGGTTACTCTCCCCTATAGAACATGGAACTCAGAATACAACGAGGGCCTGCTTGCTCCTGGGAAAGGTCTGGGGGAAACCCCAGAGACCCACCTTCCAAACACAGCATCTGGGTAATTCATTGATGTCGGGAAAGAAGAAGGGGACTTCTGGCTTCTGTGTGTTCCTGGGCACCTCCACCTGAGGTGGCACCAGGTCCCAGTGTCAAAGTGTCAGTTCTTTCACATATTCTTTCCTCCAGCTTAGCCCCCCTGTGGTTTGGGGCCCAGAAGTGTCCAGAGCAGTCTTTACTTCCCACCCCCACCAGCCGGAGAGCAAGGGGAAGTGGCTCCACTTGCGGAGGAGTGGCAGCCAATGGCAGGCCTGCTGAGCCTAGCTCTGGGAAGGGGTGACAGAGCTTGTGTGAAGATTCATGAATCTCACCCATACCCACCTCAGCTGCAACCTTAGAGAAGCAGCTGGGGTGAGGAGAGTACAGCCGGAAATGGCAGCCACCTCAAGCCCTGAAAGGGGACAGGATGTACACTCCAGTGCCCCGGGCTCAGCCTCTCAGCTGTCTCTGCCTCTGCCTGGGAGCTGTTGCCCTGACAAGGGGGATCCCTTACAGGGGGCCTGGACTGAGCTCCAGGGGAAATTGGTAGGGAACAGTCAGGGCCTGGAGGCCCCCAGACCCTGGCCTTGGCTAGGCCTCTTGGACTTGGTTTAGGCCTGCTTTGGTATGGTTCGAGAATCTTACTGGACATGCAGGATGTACTTGCTGATTACCTGGGAGAATCCTAGAATCAAATCAAACAATTAAGTCTAGGAATTCTGGCTTTGGCAGAGCCTTCAAGGAATCTTCTAGTCTGGCCTCTGCCCCAGGAAGAAGATACCTGAGCTCTCTACAACAATTGCTTGTTTTTCCTTGGCCTTTAAAATAGCCTCACTGAACTTCCCCACCTCAGCCTTCACTCCTACTCACTCTCTCACTGGCCTCATTTCTCATTCTTGGCAAACAACTTCTCCCTACCTGGGAAGAACCTTTATGCCCCCTGCATCCTGCTGCAGCTTGGGAGGCCCTTTTCTTGAATCTGGAAATCACCTCGGGCCAGCAAGCTGGGGTGCCTACCTCTCCAGTAGGGATGCTGGGGAGGGGCAACAGAGCTGAGTTGAGTGGGGAGGGTCTGGGCCATGGCTAAAGGGTAAGGGCCTGGGAACATCATGGTTCCAAGATGGTTGGCCCAATGGAGCCCTTTGAATGAGATGGCCAAGCTCTGGCAGAAGCGGCAATGGATCGGTAGAGGGGTGAGAGAATGAAACACGGTCTCAGAATTCAACTTGAAAACTCTACTAGGAAATTCTTGAATTCTAGTCTAGGATTCCAGCTTTTCATTTTAGGTCTCTATTCCATCATCAAACCAAGCCATTGAGTTGATTCCAACTCATAGTGACCTTTTAGGGTCAATTTTCTAACTCCAGACTTTTTAAGAGTCTCTTTTATGACTCTGTTACTCTAGAATTTTTAGTCTCTTCTGGACTTCTGTTACTCTAGTATCTTTGGGCCCTTAACCCATTGCCCTCTGGGAGAATGGCCCTCACCTTCAGACTCGACATCTGGCCTTTGACTCTGCCCATGTCTGAGTCCTGGAGGGCATGGGGTTGAGAGATCAGAGGGGGGAAGGGAGAAGTGAGGTCCCACAGATGCTCCTCACCTTCCGCTTCTGCGTGGGCTCCTTCTCGCTGGCGTTGGAGGGCTTGCGGCGCAACATGGTCCTCTGTCCAAGTGAGACTCCGTCCCTACTCTCCTATGTGTCAAGATGCACAGGCCTCTTGCTCAGGCTGGCCAGCACCGTCCAAGGGGTATGGCATGGACCAAACCTCTGGCTGCCACTCGGCAGCAGCGGCATACAGGAAGCCTTGCCACGTGACCTGCTCTTACAGCAATCGCAGCCCCTGCTGGCCCCTGGGGAGGAAGGAAGTCCTAGCTTCAGTCTCCAGAGATTCTGATGAAGACGGCTCTTGGGTTGAACAATCAGAGAAAAGTCCCTACCTTGCTGCCTCATGTCAGTCATCACCAGTCCTTCTGCTCCAACTCCCTGGAGGTGGCCACTATCTACTCGATTTATATGGCCTACTCAGCCCTTTTATCTCACTGACCAGAATCCAGACACCAGAAGTTGGGCCATTTTTCTCTCTGTTGAGTCAATGCTTCTGGTCACCTTGCATCACCAAGATTATCACTGCCATCACATCACAACCAGTGCCATCACTACCACTACCATCACCTCTACAGTCATCATCCATACAGTCATTTCCCCTACAACAATCACCACCCCTGCTACCTTCACTCCTATGGCCATCACCCCTACACCCATCATCTCTGCAGCCATTTTCACTGCCATAAGTATACATCAGCCATCAGCATTAGGGTAATCACCCCTACTGTTAACACCCCTCATCTGTCATTCCTACTGTCAAAACATCTACAACCATTACCACTGCTACCATTACCCGTGCAACCATCATATTACCCCTACAACCATCACATCACCCCTACAACCATTGTCACTGCAGTCATCCCCACTGCCCTTAGTACACCTACAGCTATCAGCACTAGAGCAACATCCCTACTGTCAACACTCTTCAGCCATCACCCTTACAGCCGTAGCCCCTATAACCATCACCCTGACAGCCATCACCCTTATGGACACTATCACTATAGTCAAGTACCCCCACTGATGCTTTTACCCTTAAAATCCTTACTCCTACAGTCATTACTCCTACAACCATCACTTCTCAGATATCATCACTGTGGCCATTGTCACTACAGCCATAACCTCTCAGCCATTGTCCTACAGCCATCATCATTGCAGTCATCCCATTGCATTAACACACCTACAGCCTTCTTCACTATAGCAGTCACCTTTACCATCTACAGCCCTCAGTCATCACACATACATCACCATCACAGCTATCACCACAACGACTGAAAAGTGTTTGCAGGCAGTGCCACACCATCAGCAAATATCCCATTCAACAGGCATTTATTGAGTGCTTACATAGTACATTTTGATTGTTCACTTTGTCTTTGTGGATTATCTGTGGCATATATTTTTATAACATAAAGACTTATTTAAGAAGTAATTCATATTCATGGTACACAATTAAGCAAACACAGATTTTTCAAAGAAGAAAACGAAAAAAATTCTCCAAAATTTTCTTCCATATTTTTTTTGGCAAATCACCTTCTGTTTTAAGCATCTGTCTATGTAATTTTTTTTCCACAAAAATTATATTGCATGGAGAGCAGACCAGTGGTAGAGAGTGGGTGGGGAGAAGCAAGATGGAGAGATCATAAAAGCGCACAAGGAAATTTGGGGGATGATGGATGTGTTCACTATCTTGATTGTGCTAATGGTTTCATGCGTGTATGTATATGTCAAAACTTACATTGGCTGCCTTAAAAATATATAGTTTATTGTCTGCCAATTATACTTCAAGAAAGCTGCTTTCCATCACCTGTCTGTCAGTTTGTCATCCTGTGGTGGCTTGCACGTGGCTATTATGCTTGAAGCTATGCCAGTAGTATTTTAGATACCAGCAGGGTCACCCGCTGTGGACAGGTTTCAGCAGAGCTTCCAGACTTAGACAAGCTAGGAAAAAAGGCTCAGTGACCTTGTTCTTAGAGGCAGTGGAGTCAGTTCTGCCTCACGTCGACCCTGTGCACAACAGAATGAAGTGCTGTCCCGAACTGTGCCATCAGCTATGTTGGAGTCCGTTGTTGCAGCCACTGTGCCAGTCCATCTCACTGAGGGTCTTCCCCTTTTCGGCTGACCTTCTACTTTGACAAGCGTGATGTCCTTCTCCAGGCACTGGTCCCTCCTTATAACATACCCAAAGTACATGAGATGAAGCTCACTCTCCTCCCTTCTAAGGAGCATTCTGACTGTACTTCTTCCAGGACCAATTGGTTATTCTTCTAGCAGTCCATGGTGTATGTAATATTCTTTCTCAACACCATAATTCCAAGACATTATTTCTTCTTTGGTCTTCTTTATTCATTGTCTAGCTTTCACATGTATATGAGGCAAATGAAAACACCATGGCTTGGGTCATGTGCACCTTAGTTCTCAAAGCAACATCTTTGCTTTTTAACACTTTAAAGAAGTCTTTTGCAACAGATTTTCCCAGTGCACTATGTTTGATTTCTTGACTGCTGCTTCCATGGGTGTTGATTGTGAATCTAAGTAATAGGAAATCTTTGACAACGTCAATCTTTTCTCCATGTATCGTGATGTTGCTTACTGGTCTGGTTGTGAGGATTTTTGTTTTCTTTATGCTGAGGTATAATCCATACTGAAGACTGTAATCTTTGATGTTCATCAGTAAATGCTTCAAGTCTTCTTCACTTTCAGCAAGCAAGGTTGTGTCGTCTGCATATCGCAGATTTTTAATGAGTCTTCCTCCAATCCTGATGCTTCATTCTTCTATAGTCTAGCTTCTTGGATTATTTGCTCAGCATACAGATTGAATAAGTATGGGGAAAGGATACAACTCTGACACACTCCTTTCCTGATTTTAAACTTGATGATCTACTTCTGAAAATTAGCCCGTGAAAACCCTATGGATCACAATGGTGTGTTGCCTGATACCGTGCTGGTAGATGAGCCCCTTAGGTTGGAAGGTGCTCTAGCACAGTGGCCTCAGCAATGGACTGGAGAACACCAACATCATGAAGATGGTGCAGAACCAGGCAACATTTTCTGTTGGATACAAGGTCACTGAGAGTCTAATCCGACTTCATGGCAACTAACAATGACAACAACCACCAAGATGCTTTAGAAGTTTGTTTTTTCATAAGAAAAGCATACTGCATGAGCTGTGTTTGTACCTGATTTTCACACTGTACACAGTATCATTAAGATTTTCCCATGTTCTGAAACATTCTTCAACTGCATGATTTGTAATGGCTGCTGGTCATCCCACAGTGTGGGCTGTTGTTAGTTGCCAGTGGATTCCGACTCATGGCAACCCCATGTGTGCTGAGTAGAGCTGTACTCCACAGGGTTTTCAAGGCTGTGGCCTTCCGGAAGTAGGTCGCCAGGCCTTACTTCTCAGGCACCTCTGGGTGGCTTGGACAGTATTAGTAAGTAGTGCAGCGTCTAACCATTTGAACCACTCATGGATTCCTGGTCCTTACTGATGAACTTTGACTGGCTTCTTCTTCGTCTTCACTATTCATTGAACATCTTTAAGGAAAAAATTCACACACAAACTGTTTCCCTCAGGATAAATTTCCACACAGGAAATATTGCTGGAGTAAAAGATATGCACTTCTTTAAGGCTTTGCTTCGGTGGCACTCGTGAAATCCTGGGAAAGTCCTCCTGTTCCCAAGATGTTTCCATGACCTCCTCCCCTGCCCCTGTCCCAAGCCCTCCCACCACCCTTCCCTTGGGGTGAGCTCAAGAAAGAGGAGCCCCTTCTCCTCCTAACTGAAACCGCACTTCCGTGGCTCCCCTCGGCCTGCCAGGTGGATTCAATACAAAAGATTCCGCGCCCCCAAATCGCTTCCCTACTGGCCTGCGCTTGCCTCTCAGCCAGTCCCTCCCAGCGCTCCCAGGGCCACGTGCGTACGTTGTAACCGACTAAGGAACCCAGACCGCGTTTGTGGCCCATCAGGCCGGTGGGGCTTGCTGTGTGCAGGGGCGGGCGGGAAGTCCGGCGGGGTACTGGGTGGGGGACGCGGCTGCAGGGGCTCAGGACACCCTGGGCTCGGGTCGAGGGAGCTGCCAGGGGAGGGCGGAGCTAGCAGAACTTTCCATGCCTCCGCCGCTGCGCGTAGGTCCTGGCTGGGCACAGAGGATGTGCACAGCTTCCTGTTTGCAGCGAGCAGAGCTCACACACTAACCGCAGAGCCTTCAAAGGCAGCCAGCAAAACCTGGCGTTGGGCGGGCGCGGTGGCCTCGCCGGGGCCTGGGAAAAGGCAGCGAGGGGTGGCGAAGGGATCTTGGAGAGAAATAGAGAGAGGCGGGCAGCCTGCTCTGCTGGCCCCCAGGGCAGAAGAGAGACAGCGTTTTCAGTGCCATTCTTTTAACTCCTTTTAAAATCTGGCTCCTCTGGCCAGCAGCTCCCGCCCTGGGGGTCTAGGGCTCCCGCATCCGGACTTGCCTTCCCCAAAGTTTTCTCTCCCTTCAGGTTACCCTGGCCTGAGTCCCAATTAGGTCAAGCCCCAACTGGCTAATAGGCCCTAAACACCTTTAATGGATTTCCCCTTCAGGGCAACACATTTGCATTTTATAGGCTGTGTTCCAGGTACACAGAGCCTTGGACTAAAGAAGTGAGCCAGGTCAGTAGTTCAGTGAACAAACAAAAAACCAAACTCGTGGCTCAAGTCGATTGGACTCAGGGTAACTGCATGTGTGACAGAATAAAGTTCTCTGTAGGGTTTTCTGGGCTGTAATCTTAGGGAAACAGAGCCAGACCTTTCCGCTGAGGTGCAGCTGGTGGGTTCGAACTTTTACGTTTGGAGCCAATTGCAAACAGCTTGAGTCGCCAGGCTCCTTTCAGTGAACAAGAACACCTTCACACTGGTAGTGGGCTAGCACACAGGATTTCGATGCTGGCTCTGGATAGAGCCTTGTGCTAGGCCCTTGGAGGAGGTACAAAAGAAATAGCTGTCGAAGACCCTTTCACCTAGGAGCGCATATCCGGGGGGGGGGGGCAGTAAGCTTCCGCTTGCCCAGCGTTGGTTCTTTGCCAAGCACCACATTAGGTACTTTACAAACGTTAGTTGATCCTCACTACAACCCTACAAGGTAGGTATCCTTAGGCTGAGTTGGGATAAATATTACAAAGATGCGCCCAGAAGTATACATGCGGGACAGGAGAGCCT